CCCCAAAACCCCAAAACCCCATGCGTCGGATAAAAGTTAAAAATTGGTATAAACAAAGTCTAATCAGAGAATAAGATTTGAGATTTAAAGAAAGTGTATTATTAATTATATGTTATTTCCAACAATCTAAACCCTAAAGTAAAGCCACCAAATAACTCCCTATGTAAGCAATAGTGGCACATTCCCCTCATGAATCAGTAGCGGATGTCTTCCTTAACAGATGCCATTAATCCCTAAGGCAGTTTATCCTGCTTTTAACAGACAAGTTTCTTATATTATACCTGCACCTCAATAATAAATAAAGTCTCAAATATTAAATTAGAGACTAGTATGTGGGGTAAGAGAAAAAAATAAATCTAAAATCAATGAAGTTTTACCACAATACTTAACAGATAAGTATGATAGTTCAAAATAAAGTATCAATAATGGAAAGAATTTAGAGAATATGAACTAACACAATATAATTATACAGTTGGATTAAATGAAAAGTTAAGATTAATCTCAAACTAACTCATCGGTGATTGGATCCAAACCAAATAAGCAATTGTTGAGTGCAAATTACTAGAACCAACATAATTAGAATGAACATAACTCAAATAATTTAGATTTGCTCAAAATCAACGAGAATATCGACTAAGAATTATAATAGGGCAATAAGCACGGGCTGGTGAACTTAGCCTTAGGTTCTTGTGAGGTAAGAGACGGGTCACTCAGAAGCGATGTACTTTATAAAACAATAATAAGAGATATGAGGAAATATTATAGTTTGGATTTGAATGGCTCAACCAATTTTATCAAGAAAAAGCGTCACAAAGATGACAAATATTTCTATGAGTGTATTTTTGAATACATAAACCAAAAATTCCCCTATTTCCAGGCAGATCTATAAAATTTATAATAAAACAGAGATCCCCCTGCCCTAACATTTAAATAACATTAGTAACGAGCGAAGAAAGTGCCAGACTTTAATGACATTATATGCTTTATTGGTTGTCTTCTATACCCCAAAGACATCAAGAATGCAATAGACTGTTTCGATGGGAAGAACAACGAGAGGATTTCAAGATTAACATAATTCAAAGATCACAATGTTGATTACAAGACTTTGCATTCGTACCTATATAACTTTAGTTTGGAGAAATTAAACAATCTTATAAAAATGAAATATTTTGCATTCTTTTACTGCCATTACTACCTAGATGGCATAATTAAGAATTAACGAATAGAGAAAAAAGTTAACATGAACAAATATCGGGATTCATACCATGAGGCGTCTTACTTAATCTTTAAGCTTTGTCAAGGAACGCTTGTAAAAATGATAGAATCCATAAAAAATAATGCTAAGTACATCGATCTCTATAATAATATCAAAGAGCTCTTAGCAAAAGATAAATCCGGAAAGAATCTATCGGTAAACCAGACAAAAAATAATCAAATTGACGAGCCAGACCCATAATTTTTAATTCCAAAGAAACTAAGAAGAGGATAGAGTATATATACATTGGAAAAAAATATTCGAGCTGGAGATGGCTCTCTGGCTTGACCGACAGTGAGTTGAGTTGAATAGAATTCAAAATTAATTGATAAATTGTGTCTCTAAATAAATAATCATCTATTTTACTTAAAATTACTTAATATTTACTAATAGAATTTTACACTTTAAACATGAATCACCATTAAATTTCCCAGAAATATGTTAATCAGCTATCACGGGGTTTTGGGGTTTTGGGGTTTTGGGG